TAGTCCGAACTACCTAGTTCGTGCCGTGTGTAGCCGCGCGGCACAGGGTTCGAACGAGCGGGGATTTAAAAATGGCGGCTCCCCGCTCATGCAAATGAAGCCCGGGAAATTCAAATCCCGGGCTTCATTTGCAAGTGCGGTATGCCTACATTACCCTCCTAGTTCGAACTAGTGGGGTAGTGTAGACATACCCAGGCTGCCCATCATTCAGTGGGTTTTATTGTAGTAGCTTGTTGTAAAAAGAGAAAATCTGCTATTCTGAAATCTGAATTAAGTAATCTGTTGTGTTGCAGCTCAGATTTTTATCTAGCAGCTGTATTTCAGACTAGGCCCATTTGGTGCATATCTACTTTTTTAGTAGGTTAAAGTAGTCTAAGAACATATTCTTGAATGATCCAGTGATTGTCCTTCATGTAAGCTGTTATCCAGAGCCCACTAAAATCTATGGGATAATGGAGAGACCGGGCTTCTGATTGGGGAGGAAGGATTATAAGGGACAGTTGGGGCCTGAAGCCCTGGACCCTTTAAATTGTCACCAGAGCCCTGCATGGTGCAGTCTGGGTGGCACTGAGGGGCTGGCTGCTTCTAGCTCCCACCCCTTTCACCCGAGGCCCTGCACTTTGCAGGGGAGCCTTGGATCTGAGCCCTCCCTTCTCATTGCCCAGTGCCTGGCAAAGTCACCAGCCCAGTGTACAGTCTAGAGACTCGTTTAACTCCTGATTTCTATAAATAAATCAGACTAATACAATTTTAATCTGCAAGTGCTTCCTTTAGTTATACCTGGGCAATTCCACAGAACCAAATCTTGACCACACTTATCCTAGCATATATCTGGAATAGCTCTATTAGGCCAAATTCTGCTCTTAGTGATATTGGGTTGAATCCATAATAACCCTATGGGAAGCAATGCAGTTTTGGTGTAACAGAGCGCAGTTTGGCCCTTGTGAATTAAGTAGGAAAAACTCCAGATGTATATCAGCTTTTAAGAGAGAAGAATTTGGCCTCCTGTATAGTTTAAAGAAAGAAGAGAAAGAATCAGGATATGAGAGTTCAATGTTTGAAACAGACCAAACTTTTGGTCATCACTTCTAATCTATTCTTCTTTCATGTTCTGTTTAGGTCGGCAGCTTGTCTTCTTCAAAATGGGCTCAAATCATATCGTGCCTGATCCTGACAAGATAACTTATGTGAAAGTGACAGGCTGATAGTTTAAGTGGCTTAGTCTGACTTGTAAATGACAGGAGCTGTTGGTGTATAAATATAGACAGCTGTTACGTACAAGATATCTGCAGTAGGGGGAGAGAGAATTGCACTATTACTCATTCTAATCTAGAGTGCTAAACAAAACTTTAAAGAAAAGACCAGGATGAATGTGCAATACAACATTTTGAAAATGTGATTTTAAGAAAACAAACAAACAAAACCAAAATGTGATACACTGTTTTGAATATAAGGTAGGCTATAAAGCAATAGGCAACTCTGGCTTTTCTAACCAAGGTTAATGAGCTATACATAATTGCACAGGGTTGAAAGTTCATAACTTCCATAGGAAGTCTGGGTCCTCTGCCATGCTATTTATTTGGGCAAGTATAATCGCTACACAGTTGATAAAGCTTATCCGTTAGAAAGCTAAATGTCAAACCTTATAGAAGACAATCAACATTTGTGTTACTATTGTCAAATATGCAAGACCAAAATCATTTGTAGAAATATTATGGGCCTGTCATCAATGGATCTCAGCCATATTTATAATTTCAAAAATGTAGCCAATTTCATTGTTTTAAAAGTTTATGAAATTTTATCTTTAATTTAAGAAAGCCATATTTCAGTTGTTTAGACCCTGATCTAGCAAAGCACTTAAGCACATGCCTACTTGAAGCATGAGTAGCCCCACTGAAGCCATGGGGATTTATGCTAGTGCTTATATGCTTTGCTGAATAGGAATAGCTTTAAGTATATACTTAAGTGCTTTGCTGAATTAAAACCTTAAACACTGTCCAAAATGTCCTTTAAGGTATATCACTGACACATCAGCAGAGCAAATCAGTAGTTTCAACACCACAATTTTTGATGAAAATCTTGCAGTGGAATACTTTCCATCTGTATCCTTATCAAATCCTTGGTTTTCTAAGGTGTTTCTTACTAGTTCTTAGAACAAATGAAATGAAAACTCAACACTAGCCTTAAATTCAATATAAATAGATGCATTTTATAGGCATAGTGTGTCTAGAGAATTTGCTTTCAGTGAAAGCAATAAACTAAATACTAAAAGTGACCGATGTCATACTTTTTGTAGTTTGTACATTCAGAAAGTTTTGTACTTAATTTGTCCTTAAATTGTTTATTTTTGTAAAAAATATTAAAAAAATAAAATGTGTCAACTTGTTCCTGTGCTTCCAATTAAGGCCTGCGCCCTGTGAGGATGTATGCATGTTCTGAACTTCGAGTGTTGTGAGTAATGTGTGTAAATCTTTACAGAACTGGGATATAAGATACCCCAATTTTACCTTAGGATATACATGACTCCTTACTGACTTCAGGGCGGATCTGGTGTGTGAATCCATGAGAGAAGTTTAGCCCTGTGTGTGTGTTTGTCTATGCTGAAATAGGTGACCTTTAGGTTGAGAGACCATGTTTCAGTAGCTTCTCTTCCTTTGTGACTTCAGTCATGTAAATATAGCTAACTGGTGTTCAAACATTTTGAGTTAACAATTTATTAGAATAGAATCTGAAGTAATTAATCATAGGGCTACATTCTGTTTGTCCTCACTGGGCTGTGCACAGGGCAGCGGGGGACGGGGAGGAAGGGAGCTGCTGCAGTTAACCAGAAGTTCTCTCCACTTTCTGACTGTGCAGGAGAGGCTGTTCTTGAGGCAGTATATACAGCAGCAGTTCTTACCTCACTGAAGTTTATCAGAAATCACTGAGGCTGTATCTAGACTACACCTCTCTGTCGACAGAGAGATGTAGATTAAGCACGTCGAAATTGCTAATGAGGCAGGGATTTAAATATCCTGCGCTTCATTAGCAATTTTGACGTGCCTAATCTACATCTCTCTGTCGACAGAGAGGTGTAGTCTAGACGTACCCTGATACTGCAATAAAAGTCTCACAGATCACGACAATGACCTACTGTAAGAATAGCCCTGTTAGGTCTAGCCCAGTGTCCTGTCGTCCAACAGTGGCCAATGCCAGATGTCCTGGAGAGAATGAACAGAAACAGGTAATCATCAAGCAATCCCTCTCCTGTCATCCATTTCCAGCCTCTGACAAACAGAGGCTAGGGACACCATTCCTACCCATCGTAGCTATTAGCCACTGATGGACCTATCCTCCGTGAATGTATGTTTTTTTTTAACACACTTTTATAGTCTTAGATTTCACAACATCTTCTGGCAAGGAGCTGCACAGGATGACTGTGCGCTGCATGAAGAGTCACAGATTAGCATTTTAGCTGCTGTAATAACTGATGTGTCATCAGGAGTCCATCAGTCACTTGATGGTGATATACACAGTAAGGTATCCTTTAAAATTCATTATATAGCACAACACCACATTCTGTACTTAGGTGTACTGATTACTGAAGTGATAAACCTTATTGGCTTTGAGATGTCAGTACTTACTTCGAAAGCCTTTAACCCTGGTTATGTACCTTCATATTAAATAATATAAATACCAAATATTTCATAAATGGTTGTTTAATTAGCCACTTTCCTAAATTAGAAAGTATCCAACAGTTTTAAATATCAAAGAAAAAGATATCCAAAGGTATTTGCCTGTTTTGTAGGCTAATGATCAGGATAATTTCATTCTGTCCTTTCTAGTTTGCCTTCATCTGAAACATTGCCAAACCAATTCTCATCAGAATTGGCAAAAAGAAAGAAATGTAACTTTGAGCCAAAAGACTAGCTGACAAATTTCAGTGGTGAACAATTTTGTGGACCAAATTGATAACCCTTTGAAAAATAAGGGTTTCCTATGGAAATGCTGATAGAATCTTAACTAGAGAAGTAGTGTAACACAGTAAGTAGTTCTAATAGCTGGAATAACCACTGGTGAAAGACATATATTTACTGTCTAGGGCAATGTATGTTGGACAGCTTTAGATCTGATTCAGCAAAAGCTTGGACTGATTCTTGTGGCAGTTATTTATGAGATATATGCAATCTGGTCAAGCCAAGCCACGATGTTCAAGGCATGAAGACCTCCAGGAAGTGGAGTCATTTTGCAGTCCTCAACAATATGTCATGGTTTGTGGCTGCCCACACTGATATTGAGTGTCTCTAAAATGCCACTGAAATGCCTCTGTAGCACAAATACATGTCCTGTATTAAATCAGTTCAGAAGACACCATTGCCTTCGCTGTAAATCAAAGCCGGGTAGACATTGTGTTGGGTCTGAGACAAGATAATTGTTACTTTCTCTGCAGACCATGAAGCTCACTATGCATCTCCTACCTTAAATCCCTCACCTGTTAAAAGTATCCAAAATGTGTGACAGGAGGGTACGGTACCATGTAGTGGACATTTGTGACATGGTAACCCTCAAAATGAGAATCCAGCATAAAGGAAGACTTATAAAAGCAATTTGGCAGGTTTGCTCCAGTCAGACCCTTCTAGACTCAGAACAACAATATATAATTTCTTTAGGGAAAAGGGTTTTTTATAATTTAATTTTTTTAAGGTTTGACTGTTTCTTACATTTCCCTGGCATCTTCAATAGCTTCCAGCAGCTCGGAAGCAGGAAAAAGGGAAGACGGCACTCCTAGACTCTCCAGAGTTGATCCTTAGGATTAAAAAAAATCCCTGAAATCTGAACAAAGATTTACTCCATGCAAAACCAACAGACTGCATATGCAATGTACTGCCAACAAGGTACTGAATGGGTTCCCAGGAAGTACGAGCTATAAAATAGAGGCTTTTGGAGGAAAAGCAAAGAGTATGCATGAGAGGAACCCAGTGACAAAAACTAGGGAATCATGAGAGTGAGTAAACGTACTGAAATGTTTATCTATAAACTGCTGTGCTGGGGTATCCAAGATTTAAGTAAGGGTTATATATTTGGGGCCAGATTCTATCCTTCCACAGATTAAGCGGTCTGTGCAAAACGGATGTGGCCTCAGCTGGAGTACTGTGTCCAGTTCTTGGTGCTGCACTTCAGTTTTGTCCACATCCTTTCTGATGAGTCCAGAGGAGAGCAACAACAATGGCTGAAGGTTCAGATAATCTGATCTGTTAGGAAAGGTTAAAAAAATGGTCCTGAGAAAAGACCATACAGGGGCTTCCTGAGAACAGTTTTAATATAGAATCATAAGGTGGAAGAAAACTCAGCAGGTTGAGTTTAACTCCCTGCTCTAAGCAAGACCAACCCCAACTAAATCATCCCAGCCAGGGCTTTGTCAAGCTACGACTTAAAAACCTCCACTACCTCCCTAGGCAACCCATTTCAGTGCTTCACCACCCTTCTAGTGAAATAGTTTTTCCTAATATCCAACCTAGATCTCCCGCACTTCATTCTGTCATCTGTCACCACTGAGAACAGCCTCTCTCCATCCTCTCTGGAACCCCCTTTAGGCAATTGAAGGCTGCTATCAAATCCCCCCTAATTTTTCTCTTCTGTAGACCAAATAAGCCCAAATCCTTCATCCTTAACTCGTAAGTCATGTGCTCCAGCCCCCTAATCATTTTTGTTGTCCTCCACTGGACTTTCTCCAAGTCCACATCCTTTCTGTAATGGGGATGGGGGCAGAATTGGACACAGTACTCCAGATGTGGCCTCAGCAGTGCTGAATAAAAGGAAATAATCACCTCCCTAGACCTGCTGGCAATGCTCCTCCTAATGCACCCTAGTATGCCATTAGCCTTCCTGGCCAAAATGGCAAACTGTTGACTCATGTTCAGCTTCTCAACCACTGTAATCCACACATCTTTTTCTGCAGAACTGCTGCTTACTAGTAGGTCCTCAGCCTGTAGCAGTGCTTGGGATTCTTCTATCCCAAGTGCAGGATTCTGTACTTGTCCTTGTTGAGCTTCATCAAATGGAAGGCTGTTAAAGGCTGTGATAAAAAGGATGGTGAGCCATTATTTTCCATGTCCATGAAAGTAGGACACGAAGCAATGGGCTTAAATTACAGCAAGGGAGATTTAGGCTAGACACTAGGAACAACTATTTAATTATATGGGTGGTTACATTCTGGAACAGGCTTGGGAGGTTGTGGAATCCCCATCCTTGGTAGTTTTTAGAACAGGTTAGACACCTGTCGGGATGGTCTAGGGTTAACCTGTGCAGGAGGCTGGACCTGTGATTGCAGGTCCTCTCCAACCCTTCATTTCTATGAGTCACTCACTTTGAATGTAATCTCACTGCTTTCATGGTGGCTACTTTTGAAATAGAGCACAGCCATGTGAGTCAGCTTTGGGAAGAAATGATAATGTTACCAATCTGCATGATTTTGATATTCTGATACTAGAGTTTTTTTAAAGCCCCAGTTCCTGGAGGCATGGGTGAACAAAAATTGCTACTTGTTTGTAACGACAAACCAGTGTGCATGAAAAAGGGCCATGCAGTGATGTGATTCAACAGCAGCTCCAGCTGTGAAACGTGCATTGATGCTATAAAACTCTTATAATTGGTATACAAATACTGGTCTATCAGGATGAATTTCAGTCACATGAAACTCATTCACAAGATGGACATGGGGGAAAATCCCAATGCCTACAAGATGACAAAGCTCTAGAAAGAAGGGCATAGAAAAGGAGGACATAAGAAGAAATACACTGGTCAGACAGATCTGAACAGACACAGCATTGTCATTGATTTGGGCCGTGCCAAACTGCATGTGGCTGCACAATACCCAATCCACTCTGGCTGTGTCTACATTGGCACCCTTTTCCGGAAAAGGGATGCTAATAAGACACTTTGGAATTGCAAATGCTGCGGGGGATATTTAAATATCCCCCGTGGCATTTACATGAACATGGTTGCTGCTTTTTTCCGGCTCGGGGCTTTGCCGGAGAAAAGCGCCAGTCTAGACGGGAACTTTAGGAAAATAAAGCCTTTTCCAGAACATCCCTTATTCCTCTTAAATTCTGAAGTGTCTCATTAGCATCCCTTTTCCGGAAAAGGGTGCCAATGTAGACACAGCCTCTGAGTTTCAGGAAAGGATTAACTCTTAATTTCCTAAAGCCAAATCAGAACAGCACAGCCCACAGCCTTCCCTCTCAGCTGCCAGCTTCTCAAAAATTTACTTGGTTCTCTTCACAATCTAAATCTAGTATCTTCCAGTTCCTGATTCCCAATGAACCCCAGTCTCTAGGCATTTGATACCTTTTGTATCACACAGGACAATGCACAGCAAGTGATTCTGACTGACTGCCC